AAAGAACCTGAAAGGAGAGGTGGCTGGAAGTGCACGTTATCCGGCCTTTGTAGGTAGTTGCCCTACCATTAATTGTATTAACTGCATTTACAGAGAGAAGAGCTCCAGGCAACATACTTAGGTGTGAATGCACCAAATACACGAGTATCACTTTCCGCTGGCAGTAAGGCTCCTAGGTAATTGCATACAGCGTTAAAAAGTACTTCCTTTTATTGTTTTGCATTTTAATGCCTTGTGCTGTAGGAGAGGGAAAATGAGTGTATCATGAACATGATAGCAACAACACGTCTTTAAATGTACTTCTTTCACTGTTTTCAACACCATTCACAATTTGGCAGCATCCCACAGGCTGTGACTGCCGCATACACAGTTCTTTAAGAGTGGTCATGTTACCTGATTTCCGTGATGGTGCTGCAAAATTCTGTATCATCCTCCTACTATTTATGAAGCATATTATTTGATTATAATTTTGAATAAATGCCCATAGCGAACACTAATCTTAGGGTCTCTGGTTTCTGATTCCATTCTTTATATTAATTTAGATCTTGTAAGGAAAAAGATATTTACCTTTTTTTTGCCACATGTATGTTGCTTTCCATTTCTTCAGCTGGAATTTCATTTGCTCGTGCGTTGCTTTAGATCCTTCTCACTGCTTGGTCCTCACAAACTAACTAGCAGAATGCAAATGCTATCAATAAACTACTTATCCATTTGTCAGATCATTAAGAAATAAATTATTCATGATTTTAATGTGAAGCTGGACTAGATTCTTAGGCCAGGATTTGTCCTGCCTCAGTTCAGGCACTTAAGTTGGGATCTAAAGGCCTTATCACTGAAAAGAGCATCATCTTGAGAGGTGATTTAACCCACCTCAGAAATTATAAGATCACCAGGTGTGTTCAATGATTATTTAGAGATTTTAGTAAGAATCAATATTTTTTTTATATGTGTGATGAACCTAGACCTTATTTTTGCTGTGATGAAAACCAGCTAATCTAGTCCTAATCTTTTTTCTTTGCTTCCAGACTATTTCTTAACACATTACAACTTCCATTTTACATCTGTTTCGTTTCAACCAAAGTTTATTGTGTGAAGTGTAGCAAAGAGCTTTTAGAAGGCCAGTAATTTTTGTCATCTGGTTGTGTTTATTGAAACGTTCAAGAAATTATAGATAAGTAAAATGTTACTTTCCTTTGTAAAATCAACAGTGATTAGACAATATTTTATACTCCCCAAGCCACAGGACAGGGTGATCCTTATGTAGCAAGATTGTTATCAGCTCAGCAATTCTCTATTTAAGATTCTTTAAAACTCTTAAATGTACCTTCTAGCCCTGATGTATTCTGTATTCTCCACTGTTGCTACTTCTTGATACCTCACTGCTCAAAGAGTAATTGTTATCACCAGAAAAGCAACACAGAGAGCAGAAACTCCCTGAGTATATTGAACAAGGAAGTAGGGTGAAAAAAATTGAAGTTATTTAGCTTCCAAACAGTGTAATTATCTTCTTTGGCTACTCCCTTATCCTGTACGAATTCTGTTGAAGGCCTCTTGTTTCTGACACACCTAAGGAATATTTTATTGTTTATTTTTAAACCTTTTAATGTTTGTTCTTGGAAACCTACTTTTGCTCTTCGCAATTTCCTCTTACTTAACGCCTGCTGAAGTTTAAGTTCCTGTTTATTGGCTTCCCTAGGATCATGTTTCCAAAATTTGAAGGATTTCTGCTTGGTTGAAATAGACTCTTGAACCTTGCCATTCATCCGGTTCAGCTTAATCCTGCCTTCCTGGTTCTCTTTTATGCACAGTACACAAGCTTTGAGAGATGGTTCCTTTTAAAGTACCATCATTACTGCCTTTGCTGTCTTACAGTTTTACTTTGAGAATCTTTATGACTAATCTGTTTACTAACTGTTTGAATTCCACTTTATCTCTTTTTTTTTTTACTGCAAAAAACACACAAGCAACTCAGAAATATGAGCAGAAGAATCCGCTAAGAACAAGAGGTAGGACAGAGAAACCAGTCAGGTGGGAGAAGGGGAGCGGGGGAGTACTTACTCTTTCCACTTTTGCCACATGACTGAACTGGAGGTGGAGAGCTGCCTGCAGAATCCCAGTCACTTTGGATGAACTGGTAACTGTCAGGTTCTGCGCTGGTGGCCCACCAGGTTTTAAATCACTGCCTACCACCCACTGCTGATGCTGCAAGGTAACGCAAAAATTCTGGCTGCAGGTAGGCTATCCACTGGGTCCTACTAACAAAAACCTTATTCTGGACTGGCAAATAGAAGACCTGGCATACTAAGAGGCTCATATAATGGGTTGAGTACAAGTGCTGTTGCCAGATACCCTGGCAAACCCAGACTCTTGCACTTAAAGTTTTGTGAAATCTTGTAAATCCATAGCACGCCACACCAATCTACCTGAAGGACCAGCACGTAGACTAGCTTTCTGTGTTCTGCATTTCCTTCTGACACAAAGCAGTGCTTTTGACACACAGGTAGCTTCATTTATAAGGAGGAGTTTTCAGCATTGAAGCCATACTTCTCACATCAGAAACAGAAATCAATCTGAAGTTGATTAAATGCCTATGGAATTTCTCATTGTCTTTCCTCCTCTAATTTAAGGTTTTCCTAGGTGTTTTTTGAAGGTTGACACGTTCTAAGATATGTGTCCTTAAAACAAAGGTGTACAATGCCCCTCTACATTTGGAACTGAATTAAGAAAAGGAAGACCAATGTCAGGTTATGAACTTAACAATGCTGTAGATGGACAGACCTCTGCCAGCTGCACCACAGGATTAGGTGACCAGGTTGCTAGACTCAAAACTGCACCAAGGCCCCTTTGCCCAGTAGAATAGGATGGCACCGACAAATTTGTTGGATTATCTATATGATGTCACATCTGCAACCATTTCATCCTGTCTGGGAAAGGAAGAATTTGCACTCAACACTCAGTGCAGTCAACATTTAATTGGAAAAGGCAGAGCTCTCCAGGCGTGCGACTGAATTGCATCTTCTTTGGCTGACTCGGAAGCAGATACTACTTTCTAGGATTTTTTTTCACTTGCGCGTACTGGCTTTGTCTTGTAACATTTGATCTCTAGAGCCATCACTCATCTCTCCAGTGGCATTCTGTTTCCTTAGAGCACGGCTGGAATTCAGCCAGCTCCATGTTTTCGTCACCAACAAAGACCTATGTGATTGCCATTTCCTCGCCCATCAATGAGGGAATGTATTTTTCCTGTCTTAGAGCAGTATCAGATCCAACACTGTCATTAACTTTGTGCACAAAACTTCATTGGTTCAGATTTTAAAAATGGTCAGAGTGTCAGAGTCTTTCCATTTTCTCCTATTTTTCAGGAGAGAATTTAGTGTTTTAGAATACTTTTAGTCATTCTAGGACCTGGAAACGGAAATGCATTAAGGTGATTTATCCATTTAGGATCTTCCATTGTTTTTTTTCAAAATGGCAACAGAGGAGAAGAATATTGCCCTTCGTTCCCATATGTAAGTTATGTCTCTGTGATCCAACAAACAGAGTCTTAGACTATGAGGACAGGAGAAGCTTGGCCATCCTATTAACGCAGTAAACTGACAGGGCAAAAAAAGGTAAAAGAAGGGCTAATGGTTCAGATAAGTGATATCTGCACATTTCTTCAGTACAGCACTGATGTCAGAAATGGTTAGCCTCTATTAAAGCAGGCTAAGTCTGAACCCCCTTTGGAGGACGTCTCACTATCTGCCGCCATAATGCAACACTGATGGTCCTGTAGCAACTCTTGATTCTGCAGTTGGATACGTGAGGTTTATCCTAGCAGCAAAACTCATAATCTAACAGAAGTGTGCTTGTTCAAAGCCAGATTTTGGACTGTGCGCTGGAATTTCTTGCCAAGCTCACAGAACCTGGGCTAGGTGGACATGGTGTGATCCTCTGCGTCAAAATGTTTAAATTTATGAATATTTAGGCGTCCATGCAAACGGACCGACTTTTCAGAAGTACTTATTTCCCACTGCTGTCTAATATTCATGGCACTTGCCAGAACTCAACACCTCGTAAAATTGGACTGCTTTTAGTTAGGTATCTAAACGTTAGACTTAACATTAAACATCTATGTCTCTGGGACATTATTCTGCAGACGAACTCATGATAAATTGCACTGAGTCATTTTAATACCTTGCATTCCAGAAAGGTAAGGCTTAGACATTTGGTGTCCTGACGGGGTAAGTACCATCAGTATTATGCAGGACTGCAGTTTTTGGTGATACTTGTATTTGCCATTATTTTTAGTATTTGTTATGTTGAAAATTTAAATTACTTGCATATTGAAATGTCAGCACCTGAATATTGATTAATAATGTCTTTTAAAGTATGCCTTATATTTACAACTCATGCGAGCACTTCCTGAGTGATGTATTATGCTAACCTTTACCTTTCTAAAACTATGTAGTGAATACTAGGCATCAAAGTTCCTCCTCTGGTCAGTAAAAAGAGAATCATCATTAGGGGGCCAGTTAGCTCAGTCAGTTGAGCATAGCACTAGCAACGCTAAGGTCGTGGGTTCGATTCCCATTTGGTCCCCATGTGTTGCCTGATCTAGTTGCCAGGTGGCATCCCTGGTGACAGAGAGGCTGGATTAAAATGATCTCTAAGGTCCCTTCCAGCTAAGGCCATTCTGTTATGATTCTATGATCACCATGGGCTGATTCAGAAGTCTGTAAGATAGATGGATAGAGATACATTCTGAAAGTGTGTTTTCTCTTTCTATTAACTATGGAATTAATTAATGGAAGCTGACTTAATTTAGTCTATATACCTTTTCAAGGATTCAGTTAGGTGAGATAAATTCTACCCATGCTGTCATAGGGATTCTTTTCAGTGGGATTGTCAGGATGATGAGCTCTCTAGCTGCTTATCTTGTTACAGGATTTGGCCCATGTTGTGTTTCTTCTAAAAGATTTGCCGTGTCCTTACATTATTTCATGTTTCTTTTTCTGCAGCCAACATCTTGTACATGGCAAGCCAAGAAATGATGAAGGTTGTGGAGAGAGACAGTACAACCATAAAGCAAAATTTAAAGAAGGTAACTATTTAATCTTCAGAATTTCCTTGGGAAGTCCACATGCCTGAGGAAACATTGCATCCAGTCAAATTTGTGCAAAACCAGAATTTCAGTAGGCAAAGCTTATATGTTAGTGTCTTTCCACTGACCTTGGATAAGCAGAGTCTCTGATCATCAAAATACCATTGATCCACACCTCTGTAGATGTAGCGTTCACCGCTGTCAGATGTAGTGTCCCATCTGGTATGGCTTCCTTGATGGAGGAGAAAACACCCTCTGTTGTGACCAAGCCTGAGATGTGGTTCCCAGTGAGATGAGCAGGGGTTACCTGGGTTCTGATCAGACAGGCAGATGGCCAGCCAGGACATGAGTGCAGGCTGATTGACAAAGTCCTCTGCCTTTGCTGCTGTACGGGTCAGTCAGAACATGTACCATCTGTGTTGTGTCATGTCAGTTACTATCATGGGATTCTGCAGGCTTGATCAAAACATTATAGAGAGGAGTCAGCAAAATTGTTACGGCTCCGCAGTTTCAGCCCTTTGACTGCAGTGTAGGAGAAAGATACAGAAAGTATGAAGTACTATCATTATGGTTGGAAAAGACCTTCAAGATCATCAAGTCCAACCATTACGTGACTCTAGCAGATCTGCTTCTAAACCATGTTCCTGAGCACCATGTCCAGACAGCTTTTAAATACATCTAAGGATGGACATTCAACCACTTCCCTGGACAGCCTGTTCCAGTCTTTGATAACCCTTTCAGTGTTCCTCCAGTTCTGCAGTTGAATACGTGAGCTGGAACTACTCTTATACAAATAAATGAAGTAGTTTCGGTCGGACCGTTCTCCTGCGCTGAACTTTCCTGTCTGGACAATGTATTGTTGAAAGAGATCTTGGTACAGTTTTGATGTGGACCAATAGCGTTCTCCTGGTAGTCAATTCCCAGACATGATTCAGGGCTTGGCACAGGCCGGGAACTGTTTGTAACTGGGGTTTTGATGTGGTCACCCTGTTTTGGAAGTTGAGAGAATTCAGTAGTATGGCCATGGTCAGACAATTCCAGATGGCTTATAAGCCAGAAGGCTCACAGTTAATAAACTTGTGTAGCCTTTGTGTGAGTAGGTAGTCAGTATAACATATTAGTCTACTGTGTTCCCTTCCTTCCCTCCATTTTTTTGTATCATCCCTGTCTTTCTGCTGGAAGAATGCTTCCTGTACTTCACATTGGCAGAGATTTTCCTTGGAGAATAGAAATTTCTAGGACAGAGGTCCTAAATCTCTGTAAGATTACTTTGTGCCTTGTAAATAGATATGGTACAGAGTTCACTTCATAAATCATTCTTTCTTTTTTCGGCTGAAAATGGATTTATTTTTTACTTTTCCCATTTGCCTTCTCTGAACTTTGAAAGATATGTTCAGCTGTTTCGGTTCTAGGAGGGTTTTTTAAGGAGCTGAAATAGCACATGTGAACAAGGAACACTGCACTAGGCAGGCCTAGTTTTTCACATTTTTCTTGCAGGGTCCCACAGCACCCAAGTGAAGCAGGTAGCAGGGTTCATTGGCTGTTCCAGACAAGGCAAAGCAATGAACCAGGTCTAGCATCCCTCCAGAGCATCCAGTCGGAAGCAAAAGGAGGCAGGGACAGAGACAGGACTATGGAGGGGCAGAGACGGGGCTACAACGTGGGTCAAAACTCCATCCAGGGGGCATGGCCAAAGACATGACGGAAGGTGGAAGGGGGTTTTCATGCAGGTGACAAGCTGTGTACGATGTCGGTCCAGGTCACTCTAGGATGCAGGGCTGGGGCCAAAGCTGGAGGCAGATACTCCTGCGATGTAGCCTGAGAGGCAGATACTAAAAGCGAAGGACAGGGTACAAAAGTGAAGAACCTGCAGGAGCAGGACTTCAAGTCCTTTTTGGAAATTTTAATCGCAAGCCTACATGCTTGAAGTTAAGCATAAAAGCTTGGTTGGATGCGGGCGATAGTGGTGACAATCCTCTGCAGCTCCAGTGACTTCATGTTGTCTACTTGGATGCTTCACATCACAAAAACACTAACTTCTTGTGCCAAATGAAGGCCTGTAGCCAACAGTTAGAGTTTGCAGGTGTCCCAGTCTGCTTCATCTGTGCTTTTGTTGACTCTGTCAATCTAAGCGTTACCTTGGCAGGCAGGCGCTCTTTTAAACCTGTGTTAACTTTCTTTTATTGATTCTTCTATGTCATCATACTTTTAAGGTGGCGAACATACTCAAGAAAACAAAAAGCTGAAGTGAGCTTATAAGCAGTTGGCAAACTGAAGAAAAAGCAGGTCTGAAAATGAAGCTAAACGCTTCTCTTTTTTCATCTTCTAGTAGCTTCTGAAAATGTAAGAATTAAGGAAAAAATTTTGAGCTGGCATTATGTTAAATTTGAAGTGTACTGACAATAAAAATGGGCTTAACTTATAAAGGTTGGAAGTTTATAAAAACAGGAATGATAGTCCAAGTTGCTATAGAACTGGCAAGCTGTCACTTGAAAAAATTTATACGGTTTAGTAGTCACTGTGATCATATGCTAAAAGCCAATCTTAACACCTGACTTTGCCAGCTGCTGTGGAATAGAAAAGTTATTTCTGGATCTTATTTGCATTCTGTGATCTGAAGAAGCACGAAGAAGAGACACTAAATTATTCCAATCTTTTCCTGCCCAAGTTTAAATATAATTATTACTAGTTAGGGACAAGGAGAAATTTTATCTCCAGACCCCAGATTTTTAATCTAACAGTGCTAATTGCTCAGATTTACATTGAAAGAATGGGAGCTGGAATATTATTTGGATATTATTTGAATATTATTTGAATATTATAATCTTCTAAAGACAGAAGCTCTGCACATTAAATGGCAACAGAACTATATGAGGAGGATAGAGACCTGTCTTCTAATAAACTAATATATAATAGAGCATTTAAAATACTGGCTCTAAAGCTGTTTGTCAGGACCAAGCAGTCCATGAATGCAATGACACAGGCAGTTGTGATAAATCACAAAATAAGGTAGGAGGTACTGATACAAGATTTGCTCAGCTTTGATGGTTAATTATCATTAGGTGATTGTGTCTAAACCAGCTGAGCTATGTTCTTTCACTGCAATAACACCCACTCCCTTTCCTAACAGAAACTGGAGGCAAAGATACTACTGCACTAGAGGAAGTTTATTGTAATTCTTGCATCGAAGGAAGTGGGTGTAATTCTGTATTCTTAAAAGATGGATCAGCACTAAGTATCACGGAGCTTTTACAGATAGAATAAAAATTTAAAACGGAAAAGGCAGATGGTTATGTTGGGCATTCGTTCACATGCCTGTGATGGACAACAATACTACTACATAGAGGCGCTCTAAGGCACTGAATTTTTTAAGTCCGCATCATGCCACAGTCATTGCTTTAAGACTTAGACTTATTGACTCTTTTTCTATCAAGTAAGCTTATAAACATTATCAGGAAGATACTGCATTAATGGGCAAAATGGGTGCTTACCCAGGAAATTTTGTTTAAAGAAATCACCCCTCAGATTTTATATTTGCTGAGATATATTTTGTTCATTTCTTCATGTGTAGTAGGATCTGGTCCAAAGCCCATCGAAATCAGTAGAAGAGCTCCAACAAACTTTGGGAAATCTTGGATCACTTTGACCATGAACGTTCTGTAGTGGTTCGTAATTTCTTAAGACCGTAAATCATGTCCTCCACTAACTGAAAATCATGATTCTTTTGGTTAGCATGTTAAACCAAAACCAGGTTTATATGCTCCTTGAGTTTAGTGGTCTGGTGCAGCAGATACATTGATTGAAAAAGATAGGAAATACCTGAAGCAGAGATACAAAGATGAAAAATAATCTGTTGTCTGAGAAGAAGCATTTTTTAATCAAATGGGGAAAAGTAATGGGGGAAAAAAATGGAAGTTTATGGATAAATAAACCTATTTTTACTCAGACTGAAGAAGTTTCTATTGTGGGGGGCTTATAACCACCCATATGTAGGTGGTTAGGAGAGGAAGAAATTCAGTTCTGAAAAAATTAAATGAATTAAAGTATATATTTACTACTTCCTGCTTATTTCAATGTTGCATTTGGAATTTAAAGTGATACAAATTTGTATCACACCAATAATACCAGAGAAAGTGTGTTTTCCAAGAGCATCAACCTAACAGTGATATGCAGAGATTTAGAGTAAAAATTGCAGAACAGAAGTATTTCCTTTCCATGGAAAAGTGCTAAGTTTTTCTTTCTATTGTCTTTGCTGGAGAAAATTTTTAATCCTGAACAACCAAGAACTATTTTGACCCCTGAAGCGGCTGTTTTGATGTTGCCCAGTGTTTTCGCTTGAGTCTCTGTAGACATCCACTGAGGCTTGGTAATTATTCCCAGTGAGAGGAGCATGATCTGAAGATAAGTGGTTAAAAGAACACTACAAATACTTCGCCTGCCCACAGCCTGAGTGAATTGCTTGCCTACATTTGTGAAAAACCTTCCAAACCCTCTTTCTGAATAGGTGCAAAGTGCTCTCTCGAGCCAAGAACACCTCTTTTTTGGCTGGTCTCACATCCTTTTTGGCCTGCGCTCCCTGGAGGTGCCAAGTTGAAGTCAGGGAAGTTGCACATGTACTTGGAGATTTTGGTGCATGTGTCATTTAACCACAAGAACAACCTTCTCTTTGAAGCTCCCTTTTTTTTCAGCAGTTTCTCTCGTCAGTGGAAAAGGATCCCAGTGAGGATTCAAAAAGTTCAACGTACCACGATATACTTATCTGTGGTATTTCACTTCTGCTGTAACTGAGCTCCTGTTACCATCCCTCATGCTGTGTGGTATTCTAATAAAGAAGCGATGACATGTATTTCCAGGATTTTTGGGACAGATATAAAATGTGCGCTACACACAATGAGCAAAGGCAGCAACGTTTCCCCAGCCTTCTGAAAAATACTTAAGAAGTTACCATCCAACCCTGACTGCCCCTTCATCACTTACCTTCCACCACTCTGCCACAGAGC